TCCAGGTAACTTCAGAAACTGATGTCCAAGCTGCTCTTGATTTTACAAAACAGAAATTCGGTAAGCTTGACGTTCTCGTCAACGCCGCTGGTATTGCCATAGCACATAACACATATAATAGTAATAAAAAATTGCCACACAAACTGGAGGACTTTACTAAAATTATCCAAGTCAACACCATTGGCACCTTCAACGTTATTCGTTTGTCTGCTGGCTTGATGATCGAAAACACCCCTAATAAAGATGGTCAGAGAGGTGTAATTGTTAACACTGCAAGCGTTGCTGCTTTTGATGGTCAAATAGGCCAAGCTGCATATTCTGCTTCGAAGGGAGCAATCGTAGGTATTGTCATTTTATTATTTTATTATTTTAATTTATTTAAATACTCTACAGTGAGAATTAGTCGTCCATTATTCCACAGTATATATAATTGTATCAAAAAGAGCTGAATATCTAAGAAATGATTAACTTACAGAGTCTCATTAAGATTTATTATTTTTATCGAGTTGAACGCAAAGTTCGTTCTGTTTTTTCTGTATTTACTAATGCCTTTTCTTCAACAAAAAAAAACAGAACGAATTTTTCGTTCAATCCAATACTTTTTATGAGTTTTGATTACTTAAGTTTTTACTTATTATTCCGAATACCTTGTATACAATCTTATTCCTGTTATGTTTGTTATTGTATTTTGTTCTTATTTTGAGCTAATTGTAAGTTGAATAAATTTCATTCTTATATCTTTTTTTTATTTTCTATAATTTATTATTATTATATAGGGATGACGTTACCTATCGCTCGCGATCTGTCCAAGGATGGAATTCGTGTCGTAACAATTGCTCCAGGAATTTTCAATACCCCATTATTAATGGCGCTGCCAGAAAAGGTGCGTGTCTTTCTCGCGAAGAGCATACCGTTTCCTCAGAGATTGGGAGATCCTGATGAATACGCCATGTTGGTACAGCAGATCGTTGAGAATCCGTTACTAAACGGGGAGACAATTAGATTGGATGGTGCTTTGCGAATGCAAGCTTAATGTGAAGAGTTATCAGTTTTTATATTGATAGAATTACGGTATCGAAGATTTTTCTCGAGTGTTGAGTCTTTTTATATATACTTATACATATATACAATACACACACAATAAAATTTTAAGCTTTTTCACAAACTTTATCATTCGAATCCTCTAATATTTTTTATCATACTATGCGTTTTCCTTCTTTAACATATAGTAGGAACATATAGTTTATTTATAATTCCCGATGATATACAATTATATATTTTTATCAAGATAAGAAAGGATTTATTTAATTTTATTGAATATAATAAAAGCTATATTTTTGTTATAAATATCAAAATTCTGGAATATTTATAAAAGAAAATAAAATCATTTTTCGTATGCAACATTATTTGAATTTATAATGTAATTTAATTGTTTATATAATTAATTTTACTTTAAATTGCTTAAATTACTAAATCTTATTTCCTCACTATATTCGATCGATAACATTAGAACTTATGAAAATTTTTTTGTGGTAAAATAAATTGATTCTTTGGCATATAGATTTAGTTATAGATTTTTAATATGTTGGGCAAGGATAAAATGTGTGGAGATGAAAGATGAGGAATACTGAATGAATAATCCTTTTTTGCATGCAATACCAGTGTAATTCTTTAAAATGTACGTCCTTTATAATATACAGGTATCGACAATTCTTTCTATTATTTCCCGTTTCACTGTACATCATCTCCTACGAAAGAAAACCTTTCCCGCCTGTCTCCTTTCGTCAGCTTTATTTACTTAAAGAGTTTAATCAATTTATTAAAGCACAATTCGCCCTAAGATAGGACAAAATTAATTCTTCTAATCTTGTATTATAATCGGTCAACGCAAAGAGAAATCTCGATGACCTTATATAAAGTCTTACATAAAGTCTTGGTGATCTTGCATATTAATTTTTCTATCCTTTATGACTGTCCTGAATTTTAAATATATCTTATTACCTTCAAATTATTCCTTATTCAACTTAATCATTTTTCTCAATTAATTTGCTAGAACATCTCTTTTCTTCAGGATGTTAATAAATCAGTAGGTAGCTTCATAAATGAATGACTTCTCCTATGATCCTGATTAATTAATAAAGATATATAATATACATTATATGTTTTTATTTTGCAGCCTTAATTCCCATTGACGCCATATATATATATATAAAACAAAAATATTATAGAAATAATTATAAATAATTTACAGTGCTTTGTGGGGCCGACTGTACCAGAGGTATCTTTGATCTTTAAAAACCCGTAACGAGAAATCCAAATGAAGCGAGTGCCAATATCGCCAGCAAGATCGGTGAGACCAGCACAAGTCTCTGATAATACCATGGAAGCCGTCAGTCTGACATCGCTCGTTTCACACAGTCGTAACTCTTATGCTCCATGGAGAGAACAGAATTATTCTAGAGAGATTAATTCTACAAGAACAACACACATTTCGCCATTACGTAAAAATGTTTATAACTATAATACCACGTCATCAGATATACAAAAGCGACAAAATCGAGCAAAAATTAATGATAATCAAGAAAAACTGCAAAACGTTAATAAGAGTGATAGAATGTATGAGAAAAGTATGAAATTTAAATGTTCTAATACAGGGGATAATTTTTATCACTCTGAAAGTCAGACTGATTTATTACCTTCAGATAAGAGATCTTCGTCTTCTGATTCTCTACAAAGAACAACGTTCGATATTATTGATCATAGGGGAATGTCTAACAATACTTCGGACATTGTCAGGGAAACACCTCAACAATTTCATGTACCCAATTGCTCAAATTGCAATATAGACAATAATGAAACAGTGAAAACTTTATTGCAGCTTACAAATAGTCAAAATGAACAGATAAAACATTTACAACTCCAGGTAGATCGACTGATAAGAGAGAGAGAGGAGAGAATGCAGAAAGAAAATTTCAGAAGCAAATCGACATGCTTGTGTTCGCAGCCCCTTGCAAATCCGGTATTTAGATATCCGATAAATTGTTACGATTCTGCTCTTGCATTTTCTCTCGCGCAGTCCCAAAGTCAAGGTATACAAAAAAACGTATCCCCGCAGAGTACATCTGTTATGGAGAAACAAGATTTAGAAAGCCTTGGTAAAGGTAATAAATTGGAGATAGCGTTGTTGGAACAGCAACCAAAGAAAGCATTTATGGAGCAAAAGAACGTTATGACAAGTTTCGAGTTTACCGTGCAAAATAGCTCGTTCCTAATAGACTCCGAAATATGTGAGAAGAGGGAAGCTCACAGAGAGAATAGCAGTAATAGCAAGAATGTTGTAAACGCCGTGAATATACAACACGATACAACAGACTCTATTAATAGATATAAGAATACATTTGCGCGCAAGCCTAGAGCAGCGCAATTGGAAAACATCGGTGAAGATTCGGAAAGTTACTTATCCTCTAGCCAACAGCAAAGTAGTAATTTCAACACGAGTTTTTCCGTGAAGGAATCTTCGAAAATGTATCAACATATTTCTACTGATTTAAATCAGGGGGAAGCGCGTGAGGATGTGTATATAGGGAAAGATGGTAGGATGATAGATGAACGAATGCCGAGTGTCAAGGAAACGTCTGTGAACACATCGATGAACGTAGATTACAATCCTACTGAAAGTGCGAATTGCAATAAAGCGCTTGATGAGCGAACGAACGATTACGTTACGGTGGACGAGAGAAAGAGTATCTATAAGACAAACGTTAATGAACGTGCTTTGCGTGATGTACATTTACCAGCAACAGATTACTGTCATAATTATAGGAATAAAGAATACGGTGCTAATACCAGGCAAGTCAAAGACGTAGTAGTAGGTGATAGCATGATTCTGAGTGAAGATGATCTGAGGATACTCGAGAGACCTCCACCAACTCCAGAACCAAGTATTCACGTTGAGATGCAAGAGTATACGAGTGACGATGAAAGCGAAGACAAGTTAAGGCATACTCCCAAAATTGATTGGAGTTTTTCCAATCTTATGAGGCAGATTAATAAAATTGTACAAAATAATGAGTATAGGGACCCTAATAAAAAATTTTATCTGAAAAACTCTAGAATTTCGGACACGTTTCAGAGTTTTTCAGAGAATTTTTAAGTAAAATTTTAGAGACTATTAGAGTATTTCAGTGATTGTCAAAAATTTTCATGGTTACAGTTCATAAATTTTCATAGATATTCATAGATTTTCAAAGTTTTTTAGAAAATTGTTTAGAGATTTTCAGAAAATTTTTGGAGATTTTTTGAAGATTTTTTAGAGTTTTTTCGGAGTTTTTTTCAGAGATTTTTCAGAGATTTTTCAAAGATTTAAGAGAATTTGTTAAATTAATGTCAGAGATTTTCAGAATTTTGCTGATAATTTTAATTAAATTTTCATACACTTCCAGAGATTTTCGAAGTATTTGAGGGGATTTTTTAGAGTGATTTTATCGTTAAATCTATAGTGTTAAATTTAACTCAATTTGAATCGCTCCTATTTAATATACAGAGTGATTCAGAACAACCGTTTATCCTTAAAATACTGTGTTCTTGACATAATTCTAAGACTATTTTTCCTTTACCAAAATTTTATCTGAAGTTTAGTTTTTAAGTTATAAAGAAAAATAGTAAGCAAATTACGGGACGCACACAAGGTAGGCAGGAACGGCGCAAGTGACTGTCCGACGCGGGCGATTACTACGGACGCTCAGCTGCTCACTACACGCGATAACGCACTGACGCACATACACGTGTG